CCCAAAATCAGTAAGGGTGAAGACCCCGGGGTAAGACTGTGCAGTTCTGTCCACCTTAGATAAAGGACCCCCAAACTACATGGCGTGGATCTAGATCTGACCCCTGACCTGAGCCAAAGGTGACTTCGGCCGTGACCTTGTCGTCTGACTCCCGCTGTCGTCTTAGAACGTCCACGCTTCCGGACTTGGTGAAGTCGTCACTGGCGTAGAAATCTGTGGTGATGTCTTCATTGTTCGCCTGGAGCACCATTCCTACGGGGCGGGGAGGGGGGGGGGTTGGTTCGTTTTGTTTTGTTTTTATTGTTTTTTGTGTGGAAGGGGTGGTTTGGTTATCAAGGGAGGGGGTGGTTGAATTGTTGTAGTTTTTTATGTTGTGTTGTTGTTTTGTTTTGTTTATTTGTTGTTGTTGTTTTATTGTGAGGGTGGGGGGAGGGGGAGATGGAAGAAGAAGAAGAAGAGAAGAATGTTTTTAAAAGTACATCTGCTATTGATTCCAGGGGGAAACATTAGATAACGATGGCGTGGACAATACATTCATACACAGACATCAATTCAAAACGTATATTAACGTTATATAGACCTATAGAACACAACAATACAGTACAAGCTTGTATTAACACTAGGTGTGGGCGAGTACTCGAGTCCACTCTGTCTGCGCTAGGACCGCACGGTGCCACCAGTCTATGGCTACTTTTCTTGTGTGCCATGCTGTGGCAAAGATCCCGCTCTGCTTTATTAGCGTCCAATTCCACCTGGATCTACCGGTTTTATTAGCGTCCATTAATATCTACCTGTGTTATTAGCGTCCACCAATATCTACCTGCTTTATTAGCGTCCAGTTCCACCTGGATCTACCTGTTTTATTAGCGTGCATTAATATATACCTGTGTTATTAGCGTCCATCAATATCTACCTGTTTTATTACCGTCCAGTTCCACCTGGATCTACCTGGATCTACCTGAGTTATTAGCGTCCAATGACACCTATCCGTTACATTGGCGTTAAGAAATATCTACCTGTTTCAGCGATATCCAGTGACACCCACATGTACCTGTTTTATTGGCGTTATGCAATATCTACCTGTTTTAGTGATATCCAATGGCGCCTACATGTTTTACTGACGTCTAGTGACACTTACCTGTCTTATTAGCGTCCATCAATATCTACCTGTTTTAATAGCATCCAGTTCCACCTGGTTCTACCTGTTTTAATAGCGTCCAGTTCCACCTGGATCTACCTGTGTTATTAGCGTCCAATGACACCTACCTGTTTTACTGACGTCCAGTGAGACTCGCCTGTTTTATTAGCATCTAGCTTCTCCTGGATCTACCTGTTTTACTGACGTCTAGTGACGACTCACCAGTTTTATTAGCATCTAGCTCCACCTGGAAGTGGGCGTTGTCTCCCTCCTTGGCGGCAAACGCCACAAACACCGTGGCCTGCACGGACTCTCCAGAGGAGCTCACGGGCTGAGCGGTCCGGGCCTGGAACTGGAACTTCTCGTACGGTATCTGCAACACAGGGTGAGCAGGGTTTTTGTTGTTGTTGTTGTTGTTGTTGTTGTTGTTGTTGTTGTTGTTGTTGTTATTGTTGTCGTTGTTGTTATTGTTGTTGTTATTGTTGTTGTTTTGTTGTTGTTGTTGTTGTTGTTATTATTGTTGTTGTTGTTGTTGTTTTGTTGTTGTTGTTTTTCGTTTTGGTTTTTGTTGTTTTTGGTTGGGGGTTGTTGTTGTTGTTGTTGTTTGTTTTTT